GCCCCCTCCCCCTCACTTGGTGCCAGCCCTTTCAGAGCCTGGGGAGCAGGAATTTTGATGAAGATGAGCCTCCCCAGGGCCTGGGCTCCTGGGAAGCCTTCCACACGTTGGATCTCACCAATTATCTCATTTTCATAATAACTTCACCGCTTCCCCTAATGGCTCCACTTCCATCAACAGGTACCGGGGAAAGATCAGGACACTGCGTCTTTTAAGGGAGATAAATTCAGGTCAGTCTGTGAAGAGATCATTATTTTAAAAATAAAGATCAGCCAGATGTGCTCAGTGGTTGAGTCTCCACCTATGAACCAGGAGGTCACTTGGATTCCTGGTCAGGGCACCTGTCTGGTTATGGGCTCCTGCTCCACTTCCATCAACAGGTACCGGGGAAAGATCAGGACACTGCGTCTTTTAAGGGAGATAAATTCAGGTCAGTCTGTGAAGAGATCATTATTTTAAAAATAAAGATCAGCCAGATGTGCTCAGTGGTTGAGTCTCCACCTATGAACCAGGAGGTCACTTGGATTCCTGGTCAGGGCACCTGTCTGGTTATGGGCTCCTTCCCCAGGGGGCAGTGTGCAGGAGGCAGCCAATCAATGATTCTCTCTCATCAGTGCTGTTTCTTTCTCTCTCTCCTTTCCTCACTGAAATCAATAAAAAAATATTTTTAAGAAAGGAGAGAGACCTAGTCACTATTTCATATTTACTAGTACCTTTCTGTTACTGTGCCTATACATAGAGATGGGCATCTTTGTGGGATGGGCTGGCCACCTGCCTGAGGTGTTTTTCAGATTTTTTGTTGTGTTTGTTTTTGACCCTTTATTTGCTTTTGCTGCCTCCTTATGATCGCTTCAAGAGCTCCAACAATCTCAGGTGCGGGCAGGACTGGGACATGGTGGTCTCTCCTCTCCCGCGCAAAAGTGAAGAAAGGGGAATTTAGAATTCAGAGGCTCTGTTTCTCAGGGGAGAGCGTTTCAATCTAAATTGAAAACCACGTTCAGTCTTTAATGCTCTGTCTGCTCTGACAAGTTGCTCTGCGTTCTCAGACTCACTCACCAGAAAATGGGGACCATCACCCCTTCCCTGCAGGGCTGACTTGCAGGAGAATCCTATGTGATAGGCTCGGCTTACTCGTTGGCACGGGGCGTGGTGAACAGATCCCGGGCCCACAGAATGCACCTTGACTGGGAGCAGCCTGGGGAAGTGAGCGCCTTAGGTGAGTGTCAAGTTCGGGAAACGTTGAGGCCACCTGGCCAGTGCAG